TATCCTGGGTATCCATGGCTGAGGTGCTGGTGGGATGCAAATCACAGAATGGTTTGGGTTGGAAGGGCCCTAAAGACAATGCAGTTATCCTGCCATGGGCAGGGACACCTCCCACTACACCAGATTGCTCCAAACCTGCTGCAGGAGAGCAGCTCCTCTTTGGAGGGATGTCCCTGAGCCAGGACCACAGCTCAGACCAGAACAGCCTCTGACCTCTCCTGCCCAACCTCTTGGCACAAATCAAATCCCACTCTCACAACAGGGCTTGCATGAGGCTGGCGGGCTCCTGGGGACGTGGTGGCATTCAGAGATGGCACTGGGAGAAGGTCAGTGCGTGCAGAGCAGGCACAGGCTGTCAGCACTCAGCTCTGCTGAGCCTCTGCAGGGAGGACAGCCATGGGATGCAGGAATCAGCTCTGCTCAGGAGCTGTCTGGTGATGCCCAGCACGGGGGGGCTGCAGAGCAGGGAGCAGAACCAGATCACCCTGGAGTGCTGCCCTTGGGTTCTGGAATTCTGGAATTCTGGTGCAGGGAGCAGAATCAGACCACCCTGGAGTGCTGCCCTTGGGTTCTGGAATTCTGGAATTCTGGTGCAGGGTGCAAGGGAATTTCTGGGGCCTTGGGAGAAAAGTGGAGCTTGGCCTAATATTTCCAAAGGGGAAACAGGGCAACGTGGGTAATTTCAAGTCTGACAGGCTGACATTGATCCTGGAGAAAATAGTGGAACGGCTGATCCTGAACACAAGGGATAAAGAATCCAAAAGGGTGATATAATTAATGCCAATCAACAGGGATTTATGGAAAATAGATCCTGTTAAATCAACTTGACAGCTTTCTTCCTGTTTTTTTTTTTTTTTTTAAATTTTTTCTCTCTTTTTTTTTCTGTTTAAAAACAGGATTACAAGTTTCTTCAGTAAGGTGAGGTTTGCTGAGGACATGGGTAAAGCAACAGATCACCTCGATGTTGTGTGCTTTCTTATAAAAAAATAGAGGAAAACCCAACCAGCCATGTGGTGTGGGTGGTTTAGGACCACATTTAGGAGCTCATGAGTAGGCACAGACTGACCCTGCAGGGGATTCTGCCCCTGGCCAGTCCCACCAGTGCTGGGGAGGGCACACGGGCTGTGTCCCAGCACCTCACTGGGAGATCCTGCTGGGACACCACTGGTGCTGCTGGAGGAGATGTGATTTGCAGAGAGGCAAGCACCAGACATCAACTCACCATGGAAAGGGCTGGACAGAGCCCAGAGGAGCCCAGGGAGCTGCTCCAAGGGTTTGAGCCCCTCTGCTCTGGAGCCAGGCTGGGAGAGCTGGGGGTGCTCCCCTGGAGAGGAGAAGGCTCCAGGGAGAGCTCAGAGCCCCTGGCAGGGCCTGAAGGGGCTCCAGGAGAGCTGGAGAGGGACTGGGGACAAGGCATGGAGGGACAGCACACAGGGAATGGCTTCCAGTGCCAGAGGGCAGGGCTGGATGGGATCTGGGGAAGGAATTGTTCCCTGGCAGGGTGGGCAGGGGCTGCCATGGAATTCCCAGAGCAGCTGCTCCCTGGCAGTGTCCAGGGCCAGGTTGGACATTGGGACAGTGGGAGTTGTCCCTGCCCATGGCAGGGATGGATGGAATGAGGTTGGGCAGGAAATAAATTTAACCAGATGAAGTTTGAGTTCAAACAGCTCCAATAGCAGATGGAAAGGGGGATTTCCAGATTGTTTCCAGGTCAGTGGCCGGGGGCCATGCCCAGGGAGCCTCACAGGAAATGAAGGGGCTTGGGGCACTGGGTGCAGGGCTCGAGCACCCACAGAGCTGGGCACTGCCCCAAACCACTGCACCAGGCAGTGATCCTGAGGTAGGACATGTGTCAAAAAAACATTGGTAGAAGTCAGTAAATACATTTATTTATAGACTTCCCAGGACAGTGTCCAGAGCTCTGTGTCCATGTGAGACCACAACTGCTCTGCACAACTCCCTGACAGGAGGGGACAGCCGGGGGGGTCGGGCTGTGCTCCAGGGAACAGGGACAGGAGGAGAGGGAACGGCCTCAGGCTGGGCCAGGGCAGGCTCAGGGTGGATTTTAAGGAAAATTTCTTCATGGAAAGGATTCTAAGTCACAGGCTGTCCAGAGCAGTGGTGGAGTCACTGAGGGAGTTTAAAAGATGTGTGGATGTAGCACCTGGGGACATGGGTTCATGTTGAGTTTGGGGAAATGGCTGGACTCACTGGTCTTAGAGGACTTTTCTTCATGATTCTATGGTTCTGTGACCTCCACAGCCCAAACACCCCCATGCTCTGGGTTCAAGCTCAGTTTCACCAAACATCACATCTCTCCCTTGGTAATTCTCCCCAGGTTCCCCAGCTTCCCTGGGGGCACCATCCCCCCTTTCTCACCTTCCCTGGGGTCTCTATCCCCCCTTTCTCAGCTTCCCTGGGGTCTCTATCCCCCCTTTCTCAATTTCACTAGGGTCTCTATCCCCCCTTTCACAGCCCAGACACACACAAGCACTGACGGCAGCAGCAGCCCCACCTTGTAATATTTAAAACAATTTTATTCATGAAAATATGCTGTACAATGCACTATACACAGTTCTTTACATTGCCACATACACAAACTCTAATAGCACAACCAAGAAAGTTACCATTGCCTACGATAGATGCGTGTGAGAGATGACGCCTCCGAGACCCTCCCCCCCAGTCTGTACAGTTATAAATAGAGGGAAAGGACTGACCCAAAACCACCGGGGGAACCAAGCTGGGGGGCCCTCGGTGTCCCCCCACACCAGCTCCAGGCAGGGCAGGGCAGGGTGGGAGCAGAGGGAGCTCGTGGTCCCCAGAGGGGCTGGGGGGATGGAGGGAGGGGGTGATGGAGAGGGGAGGATGAAGCTCAGTGAGGGGACATGAGGTGGCCTCGCTGATTCCAGAGAGGGAACCTGGCGCCTCAGCCAGCCCGGACAGTGACACAAAGCCCTGGTGTCCCTTTCTCCACACTCACAGTGGCGGGGGGGGGCAGAGCCATGCCAGCCACCCCCAGGACCCCCACAGGCACAGCCCCAATACCCCCACTCCATCAGCACCACCCGCCTGGACACCACAGCCCCACATCCCCAGGGTGCTGCAGTGGTGCCAGCCTGTGCCACCTGTCCCTGCAGCCCCCCTGTCCCCGAGTCCCCGCAGCTCCGGGGTGTCCCAGACCGGGGACTCCGGGGGTGTCCGTGCCTGCCCCGCCACCCCTCGCCCCGCACGACGACAGAACACACGACGTTACCAACACGACTGCACCGCACACACGACAACCCCACGGTCACGAACCACGACGACAGCTTGGCGAGGGGCCGTGCCCACGCAGCGGGGCAGGGGCGTGGGGGCAATGGGGAGGGCACGGGACAAGGGGACACTGTCCTCCTGCTGCTGGGGCGGCTCCCCCGGCACGGTGATCGTGTGTGTGACACCCAAGGGGGCTCAGGGACCCCTCTCTGGGGGAATCCCACCTCCAAATGCCCGATTGCTGCCCGGCATGATGGGGTGCTGCTGGATCTGTGCCTGGAGATGTGAGGCCTGGAAGAGCCAGGTCCCCTTCCCTTTCTCCCATTCCTGGGGAGCAGAGGCCCCTGTTTCCTCCTGCCTCTGGGTCCCTCACACCCACGTGCTGAACTGGGGGGGTCAGGGATTAAATAGCCATTTGTAATCAGTTTCCAAGGATTTGAAAGATGCCTGAAACGAGAGGTGGTGTATAAAAGGAATGCGGTAATGATCCTGACCAAAGAATAATCCTTTTTAAAAAAGCATTCAAGAAAGATTATATATAATAGAATATATTAAATTCTGTACATGATCAAATAATGTAAACATAATTAATTAACTTGTAAGAATGTCTTTAGAGACTGTGCCTGCCGTGTGCCCTGGGTGAAGGTGAGTGGTGGCACATGGCGCTCCTCTGTCACGCTCTGCCACAGTCGTGTGGGTCAGGAGAGGAGCAGGAGGTGCCACCCATGGGTCCCCCTGCCCTGACTCAGGGCAGCCACGCTGTCCCCGTGCCTGGCTGGGACCCAGCACCTGCTCCGTGGCAGAAGAACAAGGGAAGAGCTGGGCTGGGAAAATGTGCTGGTTCAGTGCACTGACCCTGCTGCAAACCTGGGCTGGGGGTCAGAGAGAGCCTGTGGGGCCCAGGAGGAAGAAGGGCTGAGCAGAGACCCCACGGGACAGAGCAGCAGCTCCCACCACCTCCTCCCAGCCCCTCCATCATCTCCATGCTCCTGCTGCTCCCCTGCCTGAACCCCTCCAAAACCCTGCTGCTCCTGGAAGCTGTGCAGGGACATCCGTGTCCCATTCCTGCCCCAGGGAGCAGTGGGGTCAGTTTGAGGTCCTGACACACAGCAGAACCACGTGTGAATCGTGGTCCCCATCCCCACAGAGCTCCAGCCCCTGGCAGGTGGGTGCATCCCTCTTGCTGACAGCTCCTGGATCAGCTCTCCTGGCACACCAGGGGTGGGCAGTGAGACACTGGGACAGGCATGGTGGCACTGACCCATCCAGGAGCCCCACAGCCCTGGCTGGGGGCCCTGTGGCACCTCCCTTAGCAATGTGGGTCACCCAAGCTTGGAGCAGGAGGGACCCCACACTGCATCCAGAGGCCTGGCCACCACATCCCTCCCCTTCTCACACACACACAGCCCCTCCTCGAGGATGACCCACATCACAGCCCCCCAGCTTTCACCCCATCACCCAACACCCTCCCTCAGCCAAGCCAAGACGAGCCATGTGATGGGACACAGCCATCAGCACTGCCCATGGCCTCTCTCTCCTCTCCCGAAGCTCAACCCTTTCTTCCTTCCAATGCAAAAACTCAATGGCAAAAGAGTGCATGAAATCAAATAAATATGCCCCCCTCCCCGCCCCTGCGAGCTGCCCCTGAGCCTCCAGCTCAGGGGACCCTCGCTCCCAGCAGGACCCCCCTGGAGCGTGCCCACCCTGTCCCTGGCAGGGGCTGCAGCCCTCCCCTGGCACCCTCAGGTCCTGGGGACTGCTGAGATGCTGCTCCCAGGGCTGCTGACTGCACATCATCACCACCCCCTTGTCACTGCCCGGAGCCACACGAGGACACCTGCAGGGGAGGTGGCCTGGGGGTGTGGGCTCGGCAGAGCTCTGATCTCCACCAGGACGAGGGGTCATGAGCCCCCCCTTGCCCTGGGGCAGGGTCCCCACTCCTGACACTTCTACCCAGAGGACTCATTTCCCAAGGTGGCTCAGAGAAGAGTCCCTTCCCAGGGGGGATGCCCATGTGGGGAGGGTCCCACATCACCACACCATCAGCCATCACCACTCTGTCACCCAGCCCAAGGGCAAATCAAACTGGCACCATTGCCATGGGGCACTGGGACTGTCTGGAAAGGCTTTCACTGCCTGCTCCCCCCCTGGATCTGCCTGGCTCCAGCTGCCTCTCCCACCCACCTGCCCTGTGTCCTCCAGAGGATGCTGGCAGGACCTGCAGACCGGGCACACGTGGGGCTGGGGGTCCTCCCCCATCTCAATATTTGACCCTCTGGTTTGTGTTCCGTGTTCGACCTCAAGCTCAGACCGATGGCTCTCGCCCATCTTAACAAACAAAGGCAGAAGAGAAAGGAAAAAAAAAAGTTAGTCTCAATGTTCCCCTCGTGGCTTCCCAGTGGCGAGCCTGTGCCAGGGCAGGCTCACCCGGGCACCCAGCTCTGGTTCGTGGGCTGTGGCCCCCCGGGCAGCGCGGGCACGTTGAGCCCGTTCTGCGGCGGGAGCGCCGAGTCGAAGTTGAAGTCCATCTCATCGCTGTCCATAAAGTCATTGAGGATGATGGACTCCACGTCGCACTCCAGGCTCCCGTTGAACATGTCCAGGTCCAGGTCTGCTGGGAACCTGTCTTGGCCCAACACGGGGGGGTGGACGGCCCCCGGGTAGGGGCCCTGCAGCGAATCCAGCAAGCTCATGTGTGCCCCTTGGTTATTAGCGTAGGAATGCAGGTGCCCGTGGTGCGGCATGGCCGTCATGCTGCACGAGTCACTGGGCAGGCTCATAAGGCTGACGGGATTGGCTAAGGCACTGGTGTTGACCGCAGGGTGGTGGCCGGCTGGTGACGGGTGGTACAACGCGTTGCTCTTCATCAGAGAGCCCGGGTGGGGCGGGTAGGAGGACAAGCCCTGCTCCCCACCCCCGCACAGCAGCGGGTTGTGTCTGTGGCCACGGGCCGGCACCATGGGGCTGGCCTGCGGCAGGGGCAGGTCGCCCCCCGGGACCATGCTCTCCTTGTGCGCGTAGGAGATGGAGGAGAGCAGGTCCTGCAGCGAGGCGTTCCTGTAGGAGCTGACGGGCGAGAAGGTGGCCTGCTTGTTCTCCTGGATGGTCTGCATGGGCAGGCGGCGCATGAGGCTCATGGCCGGCTGGCTGTAGATGGTCCCGCAGTAGGTGTTGGAGGCGGCCCCCATGCTGGAGCACTTGGAGTTGAAGGTGAAACTGGAGCTGCGCTGCCGCAGGGCGGCCGGGGGGAGCTGCTGAGAGGGGCTCATGCTGTAGCCATCCTGCAGGTCCTCCAGCATGCTCTCCCCCAGGCTCTCGTTCAGGCTGATGGTGCCGGTCAGGTCGGTCAGCCGGGGCAGCTCCACGGAGCAGCGGGTGCTGAGGGAAGGAGACATGGTGCTGGAGGGGCTGGGGTACATCAGCGGGGATGAGGGCGTACCATCATCCTCCTCCAGCTCGTCGGGCTCGTGGTTGGCCATGATGGGCGAGAGGCGGCCGCTCAGCGTGCTGGCCGTGGAGTTGGCCCGCGTCCGGAAGTCCGCCCAGGCATCGTACTCGTCGCTGGCGTGGGACACGGGGCTCTCGGACCACTTGGCTTGCTGCGAGGACGGGCTGTCCTCCCCACGCTCCTGCGTCACCTGCAGCTGCTTCTTCTTGCTGGCCTTGCCCTTGATGCGCAGGAACTTGCTGTTGTTGTCCATGGACACCGCCCTCCGCCGTGGAGTCTTGCCCGTCTTGCCGCCCTCGGGGTTCAGCATCCACCAGGAGCTCTTCCCGGTGCCCTCGTTCTGCACGCGGATGAAGCGGGTGTGCAGGGACAGGTTGTGCCGGATGGAGTTCTGCAGGGACAGCAAGGACAGGGGGAGGGTCAGCAGTAGGGACAGCACCCCCGAAGGAAGGGATGCTCACGGGGCTGGGGGGGTTCATGGGGCACCGTGGGACACCTGGGCTCCATCCCCTGGGATGTCTGAGCCGGAGGGTTTGGGGCTGGGAGAGCTCAGCTGGCAGGTCCCTCCCACATCCCGTGGGTCAGAGCCCTTTGCTGCACCTCCCAGCTCTGTCTTTGGCACAATTCCTGTCGTGGCAGGGACAGGGAGTCTCTTTAGCACATGTCCCAGGGACCTGCAGCAGCCAAGGCCAGCTCTCAGGGGACCTTCGTTCCCTGGCAGGAGCCTGCAAAGGGACAAGGTGAAGAGGAAACAAATGCAGTGACAAGGACCACGCACAGGTCCAGGGCTTCTCCATCCCTCCCAGCCCAACCCCACTGCGTACCCAGCACATCCCACAGGATGCTCCTAGCACAGCCAGCACCTCTGTGGAGATCCCAGCCCATCAGCTCCACAGGCAGAGGGAATCCCTTTGGGCACCGACCCTTTGGAGTGGACTCCAAGCTCCTTCCCCTGCCTGGCACCATTCAGGATGTGCTCCCCTCCACGCTGTGCAGGGCACATCAGCACCACCACAGCCCAAAACAACCTGCTGGCACCATGTGGGACCCTGTCCCCAAAGGCCTGTCACCCCGTGTGAGCAGGACTGGGGCCCACAGGGAGAGGCTGTGGCTCCCTGCATGTCTGGCTCTGGTGACAGGGACACATCCCCTGCCCAGGAGACTCGAGTACCACAGCACTGTGGGTCTGCAAACCCATCACACTGGCTGGGGGCTGCTTCCAGCCTGGACACTTCTGGCTCCCTCATCCACATCCAGCACCTCGGGGTTTCCTGCTGAGAGCAGCCTTGGCTCTGAGCAGCTCCCTGGCTGGAGCAGGGATGCTGGAGCAGGGGGCACATCCCAACACGAGCATCCCCAGCTGTCCCTGCCCCACGGGGTGATGGGCTGGGGTGACCCTGGGGCGATGCACTCTGCAGCTTTGGCCTGGGGAAGAGAGGGGGTGAGGACATGAGTGCAGAGTGGGAGACGAACCTATAGAGGCAGCCCTACAGAGGTTCTGGTGGGTGAGAGGCTGGACATGAACCAGCCCCTTCCTGGGATGGAAAAAAGAGAAGAGGCCAGCAGGGCAAGGGAGGGGATTCTTCCCCTTGGCTCTGGTGAGACCCTCACCTGCAGAGCTGCCTCCAGCCCTGCAATCCCCAGCACAGGAAGGACAGGGAGCTGTTAAGGCTGGTCCAGAGGAGACCATGGAGATGCTCCAGAGCTGGAGCCCCTCTGGAGCCAGGCTGGGAGAGCTGGGGGTGCTCCCCTGGAGAGGAGAAGGCTCCAGGGAGAGCTCAGAGCCCCTGGCAGGGCCTGAAGGGGCTCCAGGAGAGCTGGAGAGGGACTGGGGACAAGGCATGGAGGGACAGCACACAGGGAATGGCTTCCAGTGCCAGAGGGCAGGGCTGGATGGGATCTGGGGAAGGAATTGTTCCCTGGCAGGGTGGGCAGGGGCTGCCATGGAATTGCCAGAGCAGCTGTGGCTGCCCCTGGATCCCTGGCAGTGCCCAAGGCCAGGCTGGACATTGGGGCTGGGAGCACCTGGCACAGTGGGAGGTGTCCCTGCCCATGGGATGGGATGAGCTTTGAGGTCTCTCCCAACCCAAATCAGCGTGAGATTCTCTGACCCCTCCCTTCTCTGCTGACATGCAGCTCATGGGATGCCACCCCAGCTCCCTGTGCCTCAGTTTCCCCAGAGGAAAAAGGCAAGATGCAGAGCCCAGGGAGGAGTCTCAGTCTGCAGCACAGGGACCCTTCCCCCAGCTCTGCCCCAAGGCTCGGGGCTGCCCGGGGGCTGCTGGAGAGGGGAGGAACCTCCCCAGCCCTTCCCAGCTGCAGGAGGGACACAAGGACCAGGACGGGGAGAAACCCACGGTACAGGGGAGAAAGTTTGGTGCTGGTGTGCTGTACAGTGGAATACTAATGAAGAGGCAAGTGAGCTCCAGCCTCATCTATCATATTATGTAATGGCTTACTTCTCTGCACTTCATTTATTTGGAGATTGCTCCCAGGCTGGCTCCTCGCCAGCAGCCACCAAATCCAAGTCTACAGAAATCAATCTCGCACTGACTGATTAAGCCGTGTTTAGAACTAATTGCTCCTTCGTGTGTGGGGAGAATAAATTACGGGCTTTAATTTCACATCTTTAAAATGCAACTGCAGGTATGGGCCAGCCATTAACCCCTTCCTGCACGGCTGGGGAGGGGGCCCAGGGGGTGGCTGGGACGCAGCTGCCCAACCAATGCTCACCACCTTCAAGCAGAGCAAATCAGGCCCTGGCCAGCTTTCCTGGCAGGGAGAGTCCCTTGACCCTTCCAGCACCTCTCCTTGAACCACAGGATGATCCAAATTCCCATCCACGACCCAGCCACCGTTCAAGCAGCAGGGACAGAAGCCCAGCACGTGGTTGTCACTGCTCTGCAGGGCCAGGGACACCAGCGAGCTCAGCCCCACGGCGCTGCCCTGCACCCACAGACAGTGGGGAGCTGGGGATGCCAAAGCTGGGCTTGCTGGAGTGATGCCCAGCCTCTGCTGGGCCCCTGGCAGGAGTGGGGACCCCCCCCATGGCCACAGTCCCTCCCTGCCAGCACTGCCAGGTCTGGTCAGCACGGGAGGCAGGAGATGCTGCAGCCTGTGCAGCAGGGATGGAGCTGCCATGCAGAGCACGGGGAGAGGGGATGGGCTTTGGGGATGTCACAGCTGGATGAGGGTGACATTCAGCATCCTCTGCCACGGCCCCCTCCCACCCCAGAGGGAGCACAGGGCACCCTGCACCCCCCGAGGCAGGGGACAGGGCTGGCAGGGTCAGGCTGCCCGAGGGAGGGGAGAGAAGGGGAGGCTGCTGCTTCTCCTGCAGCCGAGCTTCATTAAGAGCCAGAAGACAGCAGCAATTAAGTGCAAGGTGCAGCACACCCGGCTCTCTCCTCATTAGCACCCCGACATGCTCGGCTGGCCGCGGCTCGGGGCACACGGAGCAGGGCTGGGGGCTGCGCTGGGCGGGCCAGGAGCTGATTAACAGCAGCCAGGCAGGCACTTGTCACCCACGGCCACCGCGGCAGCCCCCGGGCATCCAGAGTCCCGCAGCCCCGCTGGCAGGGACGCACGGGTGGGGACACACAGGGGACAGCGGGGCTGGCAAGCCCCCGTGACAGCAGCTGCCTTGGCAGGGGTGCCCTGGGTCAGGAAAGGATGGTGCCGGTGCCAGTCCGTGCCCTGCAGCGCTTCTTACAGCGACCTGTACCACTGCAGGGCTGGCCGGCCGTGCCTCCCTCCCCGTCCCCTCTGTCCCCGTGTCACCCCAGCCCGCTCCGATGGCTCAGCCCCTCTCTGTAACCCGGCCCCACACGGCCGAGCACCCCCGGTACCCAAAATCCAAACAGCACCGGGCAAGGGCATCGGTCCCCAGCTCACAGCCAGCCCGTGCCAGGGGTGACCCCAGGGTGAGCCCCGCACTCCCCCGCAGCTCTGCCAGGGGAACGGGGACGCTCTGGGGAGCAGGAGGTGCCGTCAGGGCTGCAGGTGCACCGGACCCGCTGCTCAGGGCGAGGCTGAGCCCGTGCCAGCCCCCAGCCAGCAGCTGCCGGAGGCTTTGCCAAGCTGGAAGATCCCAGTGCCATGGCGGTGCCCGTCTGCCGGGGGCTGGTGCTGCTGCGGGGGGCTGTGGGCACCCACAGAGCCCCTCACCCCCCTCCCGGAGCCCTCCTCCGGCGAGCCTCATTGTCAGGGGAACAGGCAGTGTGAAATCGGTCTGATTAGCAATTAGTCCCATTGTAAAAGGATTAGCCGGACCCATTGTTTGGGAGAGTGACTTGACTGTCAATGGGCATCTGGCAGCGATGATGATGATGATGATGATGCGGTGGGAGCCGGAAGCCGTTCCCCGAGGCCGGACTCCCGAAATGAGCATCGACCCCCGAGATGAACCTCAGACCCCGAAATGAGCCTCAGACCCCGAAATGAGCCACCAGACAGGTAAGGGACCCCAAAACAGGCAGCGCTGCCCATCCCCACCCCAGCAGCAGCTCCCAGGGTCCCACCCCAGCCTTGGGGTGCCCATGAGAGTCGGGGTGCAGGGAGTGGGGCTGAACCCCTCTGCGTGCCCTGAGGAGAGCAGGGTGCAGGAAAAAGGGGCAATTCAAGCCAGAACAGGCCCTGGCCAGAGCTGGGGAGAGAAAACAAGGTGTCTGTGTCCCCCCCATCCCTGTCACATCCCCTGCACCCCTCTGCTGTCCCCACCACTGTCACCCCTCCGTGCCGTCTGTCCAGCACCAAGGGTTTTCCAAGCAAACTCACCACACATCCCACACCTGGCAGCCCTGCTCTCAGAGACCCCCGTGGTCAGGGTCTGTCTGTCTGTCTGTCTGTCTGTCCAGGCTGCTGGGCCATCCAGCAAAGGCGCCCGTGGGTTGTTACCTGGGGGGGATTCTCACACCGTTCACAGGAGGAAGCAGAAACGGGGACAGGGCAACAAAAGCTCTGCCAGCAGCACAAGGACGGCTCCAGAGGTCAACTGATGTTTATTCATTTCTTGCACATAAAAATTGCCACTCCTGGAAGAAATATTCCAGAGGGCAGAGGCTGCCAAAGCCTCAATGGGGCTTCATCCCTGGGGATGATGTACACGGACCGTCAATGGTGACAGCACCAAAAACATCATATTCACCCTAAAAATGCCTCTGTCTGTGGGCACCGGCCACCTCCTGGCACCATCCCCTGGGTATGGGCAGCCCTACTCCCTGAGCTGGTGTCACCACCCTGCCCGGAGCAGCCGGTGGCTGAGCACAGCCCCGCAGCACTGGCATGGCCACCCCGAGTGGGACCCTGGCCTGTCTGGCAAGCAGGTGGCAGCTGGCACACGCTGGGGATGGCAGGCACCCTGGATGCTCGTGACAGGAGGGATGGCCCGTG